TGGGTGATTGAAGGTGCCGGGTGAGAAACTGAGAATCGGGCAACAGAAAAGGGCTATAATCACGGGAAGCCCTGGAGGCTGGAGGGGCTGTACAGCTCTGCAGACCTCAGCGGAGCGGGTTGGGGTGGGGCCAAAATCATAAAGCCAAGAACATTCCTGGGACCTTGCCAAGACCACCTCTGGCCCTGCCGAGTTCCAGCTGCCACTCGCTGGGCCCAAATCCTCAACTATAAAGCCGGGAACTATCCTTTTCACTTCCCTCTCTCCTTCCTCATTCCTCAATTCCTGGTCCTTAAGGCTTTTCCCCTCCTCCATCCCTGGTGTTTTGATCCATGGGATCGGAAAGAAGCTGAGCAGATCTGGAGAAGACTGGAGCTGACCAGCCAGAGGCAACTAGAACTACTAGAAAAGCATAGGACTCTTGAAAGTCCCTAAGAGATTACCAAGTGTTAGGCCTCTTCTAAACCCCTCTTCTCCCACCGGAGCAAGCAGAACATTGGCGCAACTGGACAGGCTCCCAGGTAACTGCACACTATGTAGGCTAGGGTCTGTGCCCTCCCTCCATGGTCACTGGGTTACCACCTCCCAGCGCTGGATACCCAGGACCTCGAAAGCACAACACTGCCATGGCCAGTCACTGACCCCAGCGTCTATGCCGGGCTTCTGCGGACAGAGATCCCACCCACTGGTTTGGGACGTTGGCATAGATCATGTATCCAGAACTGGCGTGGGACAACCCTGGGCCATCCCTTCTCAAGACTGTGTTTTGGCATTGGTGGCTGGAGATGAGGAGCTATGAGTAGGGTCCCCAGCATCTCCCATGATGATCCAACTCATTTCCACTTCTCCAGCTCCTTCCGCCCCTTAAAACCTCTCACTTTCCCCCAGACTCTGAGGTCCCCCCATTCTTAAGTGTTTCTGATCCAGTGAAATCATATGCACAGGTTGAAGTCTGGGTGAGGACCCCTCTCTTAACCATCTCTCCCTCTTAACTCCCCTTAGGGTATTTGCTGACCTGTTGTGACCCTGTGATCCAAGAGACACCAATGGGATATGACCCGCCGCGACCAATGAAGCACACCACGGATCTGGATGGCAGTAAAAGTGAGGTTCAAATTATCCCACTTCTGATTTGCCTTGCCTGTGGTACAACACTCTATCCTACCCTTTACCTATTCGATCATGCTCATTTACATACTGTAGCCTTTTAATCTTAATGTAAGGGAAGAGATCATATCTTAAGGGGCCAGCATATTATGGGCAGATGAAAAGGATAGAAGAATGACTATGCCCCGGAGTGGTGGGCCGCGTTTTGTGGGGAGAAGCGGTTGCAATGCCCCTTCAATTGGAGTGTTTCCCAAGGTGGGCCTCTTCTTCCAGGCGATGGAAAGGTAGGAATGCACAAAGACTCCATGCTAATGTCTGAAGGAAGATCTCTCCTTTCCCAGGGCGGCCTCAGTTCCCCACCGGTGTTTCCTGTGACTTATATTCATTTTCCCTTATCTGCCCAGAAGTCCGTTCTGGCTACTTTGGAAATGAGAGGTATGTATTGTCCTCTAGAGGTCAGAACTGGCCGAAGCGATCCGGAGGACTCAAGTCTGCCTCCAGCTTGCCATCGCGAAGCAGAGTCGGA